GACCTCGGGCTTCAATGGGATCTCCAAAAAAGCCTTGCAGCATTCTATGGTAAGGTAGTAGATATTTTTTCTTGATCTTCATTCTTTCCAAAGTCTTCAAGTGTAGCACGTCGACGGAACTTCCATTATCTACGAGGGTTTGTCTTACGTTGATTTCGGTGACGAGTATAGTTATGACCAAAGTGTTGGTTTAATTTTACATCACACCTTGAGAATCTTCTTCTGAAAATTCGAACCATTCCAAGTTCTTGTGGAGACCAGGGTTAGGTTTGTTAACTACTTCATAGTTCTGTTACACCCACACATCTCTAGCTTCTCTTCGACATTTTCTACGAAAACCTTCTGCACATTGGTTTCCTTCTAACAACACTCTAATCTTAGCCCTCACTTGGGGATTTTTGCCGACCGACCTGGCAGGACGAGTGGTAAGTAAACCAGAGGGACATACGCAACGTGAATTGCTTCAACCGATTTGGATACAAATTTTTCAATATGTTCTTTTAATTCTCGACAGTCATCCGTATGGTAACCTATTGTCCTATGGAATCTGCAGTACCTTTGCTAATTTATTCTAGGTAAACTTTTCTTAATAGGCTGGGGTCGGAGAAAGATCTCTTTGTCCTATATTTCCACGATCATCTCTTCCAAAGAGGCGTTTAGAGATAACAAAATCTTTTTGGGAATGGGTGAAGTCAGTTGGCATCTCACATCTCCGCTCTTAGGTGTGAGCTTCTTATATATCTTTATATCTTTAGGATGTGTCGAATGATCGGGATCAACCTTTACTTCCTCATGATCCGAGGTTGCCTCCTCTGTTCCGTGTGATTTTCTGCCCAGCTTAAGAATTCATGACAAGTCCTAGGCCCATCTTCATGGACTGACCACCAGAAACGTGTTTTTTGACTTAGTCCAGAAAGGATGGCCATTAGAGCTGCATCATCTAAAATTTTTTCCACCTTCATAGACTGTTTATTGAATCTATTGAGATAGCTCTTCAAAGATTTGTTACACCATTGTTTTATACTTACGATGCATTTCTTGGGCATGGTTAAGCTTTAGGGCCCATAAATTGAGACAAAAATTCCTTAACCAGGTCATTCCAACTTTTAAGAAACATTTAATGCAACCTTCTAAACCACTTTTGAGCTTTGTCCCCTAACGTTAATGGAAAAGCTCGGTACATGATGGTGTTGCTGGCTTCTTCCAGTTCCATCTAGGACGTATATTTGTCTAGATGGCTAAGACAGTTTCCATCCCCATCGTAGCCGGTGATTTGAGGCATTTTTAACATTTACTTAATGGCTTAGCTAGTACGTCTTCTGTGAAAGAGAAATGGTAGCTAGTAAAGTAATCTTCAACAAAACATTTATGCTTAGCTGCAGGTTGGCTATACGTTTCTTCATCTCAGGTTCATCATTGTTTGGACTATCTCTTTTGGAATGGTTATTTGTCCTACTTTTAGGTGATGATGATCGTTGGGAGCCCAATCTATCGAAAATGCTTCCAGCTTTTTGGTGAGTCTTTCTTGTGGAGGATGACTGTTTTTGACCTCATTAGTCCTGTTCCTGGATGATTCTTTACCTGAGAAGTAAAGGCTTCTCCTAATGGGAGGTCGGTTAGTTCGTTCCCGAGCTGGAGATTCCACCTCAGTACCCACTAGGGGAGAGGTGTGGACCTAGTTTCTCTCCATTTTGCCAACAGTGTTAGTCAGTTGTTCTATTACTTCTCTTATTACAGCGAGCTAAAGCTTAATATTTTCAGCAGAATCATTTTTCTTTTGGAATTCACAAGGAATACATGTGTTACGAGAGTTAGTTCGAGCTAGACTTCTAGAGGTCCAACTATTGCTTATTGTGATTTTTCAGGTTGGATATGTGATTTTTTTAGAATTCTTTCTTGTGAGAGGTATGGGGCTATTGTTTACAAGGTCTTTCCTCTAGCGCCAAATTGTTAACATCAAAAAATGATTAGGTCACTTTTGTCAACTTAATTGATGATTTGAAAGAGGTAATTTGAGCTGAAGTAGTAAAATATTTCTGAAATAATAAATAAAGAGTGTTTTTTGCGTTGAACGAAAAAGAATTTGAAGCGAGTTTCGTACAACAGTTCAGTTCGATCATTATGGGGACCATTATAATCCCATTTATAGTAGGAAATATGCAAATTAGCTTGTGTTACATCAAATCAGCTACAGTGATGGCCTTAATGTGTGTGTTGTTGACCTAATCTTGATTGGATGTTGAGGTCAACTTCCATATGTCAAGTTGGAGCTAAGGTGGGGAGTAATCATTGTCTAATTGTGATTAGTTACAATTAGGGGTGCCATATTATTTTTGTTCATGTGTCCCAAAGCGATTGGGTTAGATAAAGATGTAATGTTAGTCTTGGAGTGAGAGAAATCAGAATATAATGATGATGTTCCCCAAATGACGACAACAGTTCCTTTCTTCTGAAGACAAGTCGAGTTGAATTAAATTGGGAGTTTTACCCTGATATGATCATCTTATTTTGATATTTAAACTCAACTTAAAACCGGCTTTATGAACTCTTAAATTGATGGAGGTCAACAAGCAAAATCGTTATTGAAGCACACATGAATAAAAATGTTAAACCTTTTGAAAGTAACAACGCAACCAATGAGTAAAAAAACGCGTGGCTTGGTGAATAAAGCGTGAAAATGTAACAAATTCAGTCAAAAACTCACTAATCATTGATCGGCATGTGTCACAAAAAAACCCTTTTGATTTCACCAGATATCTATAAATAGTCATTAATTCAAGCAAATTGGAGATAAACTCTTTTCAAAAGTAAATTCCCTATCAACTCTTATTTTCGGCAAATTTTATTTGAGTTTAGGGAGAGAAAACCTTGGCTTATATATAGACACACACACACAAATTATTAAGTTTTTCATTACTTGAATCATTTCCTATTAAATTCAACTTTGAGTAAAAAATACATTGATCTGATTCATGCTAGCCAGAACTCATTGACAATATCAATTACATCTTCCCCTAGAAATGGAACAAGTGAAGTGAAAATATACCATAAAACGAGGTCGAAGAAAACTTAAGGGATCATTCTCGAATGCGAAAACGATATCAATACGTCAATAATAAATGTGCGACAACGGTTGAATTTCATTTTGATAAACATGTTCATTTTATAAGTTCGTTTAAGAAACAAACCTAATACACGCTCCAACTAAAGATCTTATACTTTTTACTAGTTTAACCATAAGATTTATATTGTACAAAGTAACTAGGGTTTCCAGGAAATTAGACCAATTTATAATAATTGAAGATGAACATAACTTACTTTGAATTATTTTTTGAATTATTAACAAATGGTAAGTGATTAAAACACGTTTAATGACAACCATGGTTAGAGTGATTTTGCGGGGACCATTTTGGTCAGGAGGGCTTCTTCTTAAGAATAATAAAAACTTTATTAATTTTGGGGTTGACAATAATAGTAAAGGGCATATAGGTCATTTAATACAGTGATTAGTAGTTAATACGCATACGGACCCCGCCGGCCTCAAACTCCGCCGCACCTACCATAGGGATACCTATTTGTAAATTTTGCAATTTGATCCCTCATGTTTTGAATATATTACAGTCGCCGAAGTGAGGTGATTTTTTATTTTTTAATTTTTTTTATGCCCACTTGCAGCATCATTGGAAACTCTAGAATCACACGGAATTTTATAGGCACGTAGGAATAGACACCTCGATACATGAGAGATTTAGGGGCCGTTCTCTTTGTGTTTCAGTTTTCTGTTTTGAATTTTGAATTCGTTTTGTGTTTTGTGTTTTGAGTGTTTGTTTTGAAATTGCTGAAAATGCGTTCTGTTTGTTATTTTGGAAAATTGTTTCTGAAAACATAAAACTAGAAAATGCGTTTACTTTGAAATTTTGAAAATTTTTTTTTAAGTATTTTATTCAAGAAATCTAATTATTCAATAAATTTCAATAGTTTAATATTAATATCATATTAAATAATAATGTTAATGGAGAAGTTGTTAAATTTTGAAATATTTTTTCCACATATCAAAAACACAACCTAAATTTTAATATTCAAGTGGATCGTCTAGATAGACAAATTTTAACATCCAAGTACTAGTCGGAATGAAACACACTTTAATGGACTCTAATACTGTATTAAAACTTTAAAATTTCATTTTAAAGGGTGTCAATTTGTCGTTGGTCTTTAGGAGGATAATATCCTGAAATTATGTCATCATTAAAAGAAACTAATGAAAATCGCAAGCGAAAATGGCAAGCGTTTACCAAATAGATGGTACTTATAGACAAGGAAATAACAATATTGCTTTCACATTTCTATACATTATCTTTTGTAGCTAATATTACAACAGTATAATAATAATTCTGATCACTTAACAACAAATCCATCAGGTTTTTGGCAATAACCTTAGAGGCTTGATTCAAAATAGCAATGGAAACTTCTACAACAGCTATTTCTACCGGACATGAGCAATAACAACAACTAAGTCAAATAAACAAGTTTGGTACAAACATTTCTTCAAGAAATTTGTAAAGAAACCATTTTAGTGAGGGAAGAACAAAAAACAAAAGAACAAGTTAGGAAATTCTGAGCGTACATCCTGGGAAGCGAACAGCGAGACAATTCCAATTGTTTTTAACATTTCGAAACCAGACTCATTAATGAAGGCTATCAATATTATTATGCTAGTAATGCAAAACTCAATCTCAGTGCAGAAACCAGACTCCAAGAACGTTGAAGCATTGTGGTTAAAAACGTAACAGTAGCCATTCATTGTTAAGGAACTTAGTAGCAGAGTAAAAATACTGCCATGACCAGAAATTAATTCAGGTACTAAACAGGCTTATTACTTTATTGTCTTATCTGGGAATTACAGAGTTGCATATTTAGATATGGGTTAAAAAAGTAATATAGACTTCACAAATACGAGAATTTGAAAAGATACATCTACATTCAATCAACTAGATCATGACTCAGTAAAGTACCTCATATTTACTAGAAGGAAATATATTAAGCCTCCGTATCCTTTGAGGATATTTTGACTCAGCTTCATGCTTTTGTCTGCCAAAGGCAATCCCAGATAGTGCAGTAGGAGGATCAGAATGGTCAGGGCAGCTTATGGGACCAAAATCATGAGATTTCCCTGCAACAAGTTGTGCTTCAAATGAAAGATGTGGTCTTGGAACTGGAAAGGGATTTACAACTCAGAAAAGAGGAAATACATCAAGAATATAACTTTATTGCAGAAACCAAAAATGTAATAAGCACCAGTATAAATATGCTAAGAATAAGAATTTGGGTGGGAAGTTGCTCATATAATGCTACTGCCATTTGAAAGTAGAACCCACCAGTATAAATATGCTAAGAATAAAAATTTTTAAGCCCCTTTAGGGGTGACATTTTGCGGAGGGGAGGATTTTTATAGTTAAAAACAAGTGTCCTCCAAAAAAAATTCCAAAACAGTGTCAATAAGTACAACTTGATATCACATAGAGATGTGCTCAATCTTTGTCATATAAAATAAACCAATAGGCGAAGTGCATCATGGCCTGCAGCTTATTTGTTAGGCAATCTTTATATGGTTCATATGCACTTCTACCTCAATTAACCATTTGTTCACTTCAAGTCTTCAACTACATCACTTGCTCTATAAATATTTCTTTGATCCCAAACTCAGGCAAAGCAGTATGATTGCGGTACAAAACATCCAATGAAAAAGAAGTATTGGCCAATGGGAAATTTTACCAAATCACTACAAGTGTTCAGATAGTAAATGATGTAACAAGTGTTCAGATAGTTATTACAAGAAATAAACATTAATCATTCAACATATTAGGTAAATCGTAAACTACATATGGGAGTTATTACAAGAGAAATATAGAATAGCTCTCAAGACAAACGATAGAGTCCTACATCAATACAAACAAATGAGAAGTAAATGCCAAACCTTGAAAGCAGGCGCACAATAAGCAATAAGAGGACCGGAACTCAACCGTGCTCACAACCTTGAGCTCCCAACCTGTACAGCACATTAGAAGCATTATAAACATTGAGACGATTTACATTCAGACGACTAGCATACTTAATCAAAGCCTTCAACTACTAGCATATACAAAATAACATCTCCAAAGATCTTGCACGGTTTATTTAGATATCTGGCCAACATATAAACCAGTAAACCGAAGCATATACTTTGAAGAAGGGATTACATAAACCAGATCTCATAAACTCTTCAATCCAAAATTGGTTTATTTCAGTGGGTGGCTGGAATTTCTGATCCAATGCTTACTTTGAAATTACAGGCTTACTGTTTTATCGCAACTAAATTGTATTAGGTATTTGGATTGGTAGCAGACACTTGATGCAGAGAAGTTATGAAGAAGAAGAAATGATTGACTGAATTTTGAAGGGATTTCCAAATGAACAGATTTTATAAGAAACGGTAGAAAAATGATTTTCCATTTCTCTAGTTGCACTAGTGAAGGTGATACAGATTCTCCCTGTTCTATAGAAACTATATACCCTCTGCACTCAAACAATATAACCCCAACCCAATCACCAGAAATTCCACATCCACCTCCATCTACCATCCCCCTGCGAATTCCCCAAAATTATCCAAAATCAACCAAAATCACCACCTCTGCCACCTTCAACCACTGCCCCTACCCAACCTAAATCAATACCACCACCACCACCTCTTTGCATTGCCACCATCATCAACCACCACCAAAATCAACCAAAATCAATACAACCAAAAAATGCCCAAACAAAAAATACTACAGAAAAAATAGAGAGGAGGCAGAGACTAACGTCGCCGGCGTCGAAGAGAGAGGCGGCAGAGATGGACGTTCACAGCAGCGTCGCCTCCCATGGGTCGCGACGAATAGCTCGCGACGCTGTGTTCACAGCAGCGTCGCCTCCCAGTCCCCACTCCAGCGCCGGCACCGGCCCCGCCCAACAGCAGCGTCCGGTTGCAGAGAAGAAAAGAGATCGCCAGCTATTCTCTTGGCAGAAGAGAGAAGATGGAAGAAGAGAAAGGATTTGGGTTGTGGGAAGAAATAGGAATTTTTGGAACAGTGAACTTTGTTTCGCGTGTTTTGAAGAATTTTCGAGTTTTGTACAGAAAACATCCAAAACGTAAATAACATCATTTTGTGTTTTCCATGCAATTTTTTTTTGTGTTTTCAAAAACTCGTTTTCGAAAATAGGAAAGAGAACGCGTTTTGGACGTTTTGAAAAATTGAAAACAGAAAACGGCCCGAAAACGATAAAGAGAACATGCCCTTAGGGTTTGCCAATAAGTTTTCACGGAATCTTGAGATTTTTGTTTACCGATATTTTTAGGTAATTTATACATAATTATGCTTCTCAATATTTTATAACTTTTTGTCCCTTAATTTGTTCTTTTTAAACAAATTCTGTATTTTAAGGATCATGCTATATGTACATAAATATTGATGCATTGATTTACACTCATATGAGGTGGTCGATTTTAATACATTGATCTTGACAATATATTTTCTAATCAACTGTAAGATTTTTAATACATAGGGAAGTGTCAATCAACGTGTACACTTTGTGTGTACAATTAGTTTAATCATTTTTATAAAACTAAATAAATAAGAAAGAAATATAAGAGAAGAACATAATAAGTTAATAAACTTGTGTGTATTTTGTTAAGAATAAAAGCCCTATATTTATATAGAAAATTTTAGGCAACAAATGATACAATAGTCACAATAACTAGGGATGCAGGGCAAGGGCGGCTCTAGTACCTGGCTAGCCCCCGCGGCCACCCGTACTTTGTCCGTCGGAAGCTTCAGATCCTTGCCGCCGAGTTGTCGTCTGCTGAGAATAAGAAGAAGAAGAAGACCCGCCGCTGAATATTTTTCCCCCATTTCTATTTGTTTCAGTAATTCAATTGTTTGGGCCTTATTTTAAAAAATAAGGCCCAATTAATGAGCCCAACTCATTGGTTTTGAAATTTGTAAGTCCATTACCATTAGCCCACATCACATTCCATAAATCCACAACAAAACCAATTTAACCAAATCAATTTTCAAATATTGCTACGGTCCAGCAGAGATGGGGAGACGACTTGAGTCTTGACGAGGGGGAAATTCATTTCCACTGCGGCTGCGGCTGCGGAGTGACTCACGGAGGAGTCGGACTATCGAAGGGCGGTGGTCGGTGGACAATAAATGGAGCCTGGACTTGGAGGTTGGAGCTTCAAGCCTTCGACTGTCTCTACGTAACTGCGTTCTGCCTACCTGGTATTAGCCCAACTCAAACATCTTGATTCTTGCCCTTGAAAATTTGAATCAATATTGCTATTTCCTATTTGCTACTTGCTAGTGCTTGTGAGTTGTGAATTTGTCTAAATTTTGCTATGAATTAAAGAATTATGATTTTGGATTTCTAGGTCACTACTCACTGGGTGCTATTCTTTTTTTTTTTTAGTTCATGTGAATTTGTGATTTATGAATTATGAGAAAATAAAATTTATGTTATATTAATATGTATGACTTATAATTTTGAATTGTGTACTGTGAATTGTGATTTGGGAATGACAATTTGATGGTTTACGTGGAAAAAGATATTTTTGTAAAACTTGAGAATGAGGCAATATTACAACGTTTTCAAAATATGAGACTTCGAACAATGCAGTTGTCTAGGCTTACAGTTACGAAGATGGTTGTATTATTTTTTTAGTATTTTAGGTTGTACTGAAATATATTTTCATATGTATATACTTTTTATGTTTTAGTGCATTTAAATAGGTATCGAATTATATTTTCGGCTATAACGATCGTTGATTGTCAACGGTCATCGACCAATGGTCATCGGTCTCCGCCACAGCTGAACCAAACTTCTGGATTCGCCCATGATGCAGGGGTATAATAATTATTTACAAATATTACTTTACTTACAATAGTCTTTATTGAATGATTATTTATACAAAAACTATCTCATTCATAGCCTTGTTTAGGCAAAATTTCGATGAGACAAAAATACCAAACAAATGAAAAAAAGAGTAAAAATAATTTAAAGTAATGAAATGTTGCCTCTTTAAAACATTGTCAAGAATATCCAATTAGATAAAACTTGAGCAAAGCAATAAAAATACAACTACTCCCCCTGATTTCAATTAATGAAAATTCTTGTGTCGAGTCATATTTGTCTTATACGTCAATGTTTTCAATATCACAATTCCAATAAAGTATATTCCATGTTGTCTTTTTAGAATCCCAAGCAATATCATCTTCATATAATATATTTGTCTATCTTGATGACTTTTGTAACATGATTGTTCGAAAAACATATACTGTTGTTCTCTTCGAGAGTCCCATACATAAAATTATAACATAAATCATAAGTTATATAACATCGTCTAATTACACTTATCAAATTGTTGAGATTAGTCTTACTAGCACTAAAAAAAATCGTCTTGATAGTGTAATATGAAAATTAAGATCATAATTTACAATTTGAGCAGTAATTTCACATAACTTTAGGTTGCGAATATCATACAATTATCCAATCGATGCATTATATTTATTAGATACGAATAATATCTAAATGGTCAACATGGAGGGTAACATGATTCCATATATCACTCAAATTATTTTTTAAGATTATATGGATTTAATCCCAACATTAGTTAATGATGGTCAATGACCAATTTATGATAGAGAACATGCATTATATATGAATCTCTGAAAAAATCTTTTGGTTCTTTTTAAATATTCATTTAAATTCTCATTTTGCATTTATTGATCCAGTGATAATTTAATTAGACATGTCAAACAATAAAATATTAGAATTATTGAACTAGACTCAATACATGTTTATTTCAATTTTACTAATATTAATATATTGTATCAATCAAGAACACTTTTATAAACTTTGTAGGTTTCTTTTTTATTAAAAGGAGAACATATTAATAGCAATAGTAAGTTTATCCATCCATATAACAATATAATTGATTCTTCTGGAGCTTTAAATAAGATTTGTAGTATCACATTTTGATAACATTAACTTTTATCATTATACAAAAATATATTTTTTTAAACTAGATTAAGAGTGATATTCTTCTAAAATATTGATACATAAAAATAGATTATGTTCTAGAAACAATAATTCAATATTCTTCTAGAATATTTATGATTGAGTTGTGTATTTTTTTTTTAAATATCATCACATTAATCATCTAAATTATTAATGTGATATTCAATTATATCATATTTAGTTATGATTCTTTGGGAGTATAAACATAATTAAATATGACTGTAAATCATATGATTTTATTTTTTTTTGAAATTTGTGCTACTTGAGGAGCATAACATGTATTATTCGAGAATTGAAACTTATAAATTTATACTCTTCAGGAGCAACAAAACAATATTTTTTTTCTTTAAATATTAATGTATATAGTCGTTTCTTATGACAAAAATATTCTTCCATAACATTGATTTGTATTATAATATTTTCTTCTTAAAAAATAGTATCCTTTCGAAATATTGTAATATTTGAATTTGCACTTCTTCAAGAGCAACAACTTTTTTTTTTTAATATATAAGAATGATAATTAATAATAACCAAATATTATCTAGAATATTGATATAAAATTTATACTCTTCCAAGAGTAATAATGCATCAATCTTATGAAATATTGATATTTATAACGTTTTGTTTCTTTTACAATAACTATATAAGATTCTACCAACAATATAACGTAAATTTATGCTTTTTTAAGAGCAATAACATGATATTCTTTTGAAATGTTTGTATAAAGTGGGTTGTGTTTTTTCAAGAACATCAACACCATATTTGGTTAGAATAAATATATTTTTTAGTTATGCTTTTTTAGGTTGATAAACATCATTGAATATTTGTGCTCTATTCAAGAAATTAATAATATTATGCCTCTGTTTGATGCCTATTATTTCATAAATACTCATTTTGTAATAGTGAATTTTTGGAGCACGTGTCGTTAAAAAGTATAAAAAAAATTTGAGTTGACGTGCAAAATATTTTATTGTAAGAATGTATGATTGGAAATAAGTTTGAGAAAAAATAAATTTTAAAATATAAACACGAAACACGGACTATATATTCTTTGAGAATATTAAAGATTATAAAGTTGTGCTCTTAAGAAGAAATAATATTATATTATATTATAATACAAAAATACGCTTTTACTGGAATATTAGTTAAATCAAAATATTTAATTGATTTAAAACTTTACAAATATGATATAATAAAATAAAAAGATTTCTAAAGAATAGACTAACTTGCCCCTTGTTTTGGCTTCGTTTTAATGAGATTTTGAGAAAAATGAATTTTTGAATAGTAATATTTTTATAGAATGTGTGGTTAAAAGGAAGGAAAAATTTTGAGTTTACGTGTAATATTATTTTATTGAATAATGTGATTGAAAATAGATTTTGAAAAAAATATATTTTTGGTTTAATGGAGCTCACACATGGGCTTTACATTCTTTGAAGAACCATGAATAATTGACAAATCTCATATTTTTCAAAGATATAAATTTGAAAAATTTCATGGTACTTAAAAAAAAATTGCTATTGTTTATGTAGCTACTACCTTGTATAACAACGTTTTGATCATAGTTGCACAGGCTGTCCATACCTATGAATATTTGCAATGTTCTTGAATTTTCTCTATGTTTTGGGTGAGTTTTT